GCTTACTCCTGTCTCAGAAATCTCTCCTGCTTGGCTCAGGGACCCTACGGGACGTGGAGAAGCCAACTAGGGTCAGCGCTCTCCCACTGTGCTGTCACTCTGACCTTGAACCTCATTTTCATCTACTTCGTTAGCTTTCTGTTTAATGTCATGACATTTTCAGTTAGTATGATCCAAGGGACCCAAGAGCTAGGACAGCAGGTCAGCTGCTTGTCTTGCCTCCCTGAGAGTGACAGGCAGCCCAGATCCCCACCCACTCTGCGACCCTCGGAGGGGAAGGAGCATCTGACAGTGTGTGTCTCACTGGGTCTGTGAGCCGGTGACCAAGGGTTTTGCCGGTCAGGACATTTCCAGCTCCAAAGCAGGGACTTCCGGTCAGGGCCCTAGTGGTGGTGGTGGGGGGGGGGCGTTGTGCTCCTCTCTGGTGCTCACAGCTCCGTCTTTTCCTCCAGGTCTTTGCATGGAGCTTCCTGCCGACCTTCGGAAATAATAGGCTGGACACAATGGTCACACGCGGTCTGACAAACTGTCCCCAGGTAGGAGGAAGTGGCAAAATGAGACGATGCAGTGACAGGAGCACCCAGTCTTCCAGAGCCATTTGTCCCAGTTGTTTCAGCAGGGAACCCTGGGGCATGGCTTCTGGTCAGAGTACTGCTCTGCTGTTTGAGGCCTCTTTGCCTCTGTTTGTTTTGTTGATTTGGGTTTGGGCAACATTAGGGGTAGTCAAGGATTACTCTCAGACGGTGCTCAAGGGTCTTCCTGCCAGGCTAGGGGACCCTATGGGTTAGGGGATCCATGGCTGACTTTTTCAGAGTTTTTTTGCTTTCTGTTGTTAGGGGATGGGAGGGGCACACCCAGGGTTCTTCTTGGCTCTGCATTCCAGCATTGAACCTGGCAGTGCTTGGGGGACCCTATGGGACGGCCGGGATCACCAGCCCATGCCCGCTGTCCCCGGTCACACTATTCTATTACTGCATCTTCTGCTTTGTTTCCTTTTGTATTAATTCTTCTGCCTCAGTGGATGTGCCCAGGGCTTACTCGTGGCTCTGGACTGTAGATTCACACTGGACAGGCATCAGGGGCTGTGGGGTATGTGGGCCCCATTTGCATCCAAGCAACTACAATGACTCCATGCCCCAGGTCATGGGTTTCCCCTATTTTGTCCTTTTTTTTTTTTTTTTTTTTTTTTTTTGCTTTTTGGGTTACACCTGGTGATGCACAGGGGTTACTCCTGGCTCTGCACTCAGGAATCACTCCTGGCGGTGCTCAGGGAACCAGATGGGATGCTGGGAATTGAACCCGGGTCGGCCGCGTGCAAGGCAAAACGCCCTACCCGCTGTGCTATCTCTCCAGCCCTACTTTGTCCTTTTTGTTCTTAAGATCCTTGCCTGCCTGCTTCCATTCACTCGCTTCTGGGTACACAGTTCTACGCATGCACCTGTCCCAGGGAGCCGGAGCGAAGGATCTTTGGAGCTGGTGGAAGAGTTTGATGTCAAAACTCATTTACAAGCTTCAAGAGTTACTTGGGGCGGCCCTTAACTGAGTTAGAATACTTCAGGCACATATGTCCACACATAGTTTTGAGTTACTTGCTGGAAGCTGAATGTCCCCTTCTCATCCCTAGTGATCATGGGGTATGAGAGGCAGGGGGTGTGTCGTCAGTGTTTCGGGCCAAACCCAGCATTGCTTTTTTGAGTTCTGGTGCATTTGTGCTCCGTTCTTTTATTATTTTAATTTTATTTATTTGTTTATTTATTTATTGCTTTTTGGGTCATACCCAGCAATGCACAGGGGTTACTCCTGGCTCTATACTCAGGAGTTACACCTGGCGGTGCTCAGGGGACCATATGGGATGCTGGGAATCGAACCCGGGTCGGCTGCATGCAACGCAAACGTCCTACCCGCTGTGCTATCTCTCCAGCCCCTATGCTCCGTTCTTACTCTCTGCAGTTCTTACTGAACCAGTAGTGCTGAGATTGGCCCTGGGGTGTGTGTGTGCAAGGCTGGTGCCTCTAGGAACCTTCTAGTATAGCGTCATCACAGTTTACCAATCTAGCTGCCTTAGAGTGACTTATTGGGCCAGTCACCCAAGAGGCTGTGAAGCTGCTTCCTCCTCTGGGAGAGGCCCTGAGCCCTCTGGGTCCCTGGGGGTCCCGTTCTCACAGCTCAGGGAACAGAGTGAGGACTGACCCTGACTCTCATCCCCCTCTGTGTGTCGGATCAGGACACTTTGACCTTCCCAGACGTGGCCGTGAGCTTCACACCTGAAGAGTGGATGTGCCTGGATGCCTCTCAGAGAAAGCTCTACAGGGACGTGATGCTGGAGACCTACCAGCACTTGCAGGCTGTGGGTGAGAGCTCTGGGGGATGGACCCAGGTTGTGTGTTCAAGATGTGACAATCACGCAGATGACTGTTTCTCTTTTTTTTTTTCTTTTTGGGTCACACCTGGCGATGCACAGGGGTTACTCCTGGCTCTGCACTCAGGAGTTACTCCTGGCGGTGCTCAGGGCACCATATGGGATGCTGGGAATCGAACCCGGGTCGGCCGCGTGCAAGGCAAACGCCCTACCTGCTGTGCTTTCTCTCCAGCCCGATGGCTGTTTCTCTTGGTCCTGTCTGTTTTTCTCTTTTTGTTATGGGCCACACCTGGCAATGCCAGGGGTTACTCTTGGCTTTGTTCTCAGAGATCACTCTTACCGGGGCTCTGGCATCCCTATGGGATGCAGAGAAGCGACGCAGTTCGACCACATGCAAGGAAAGCCATCTACGCACTGTGCTTTCACTCCGTTTCCTCCAAATAGTTCCTTTCATTGCTGGTTAATTGATTTCTTGTTCTACCCTTCGCTCTGCACTCAGGAGTTACTCCTGGCGGTGCTCAGGGCACCATATGGGATGCTGGGAATCGAACCCGGTTGGCCACGTGCAAGGCAAACACGCCCGACCCACTGTGCTATCGTTCCAGCCCCGAAACTTCATTATTCTTTTTGTTTGTTTCTTTGTTTTTTTTTTTTCATTTTGTTTGCTTGAGTGCTGCACCCGACAGAGCTCAGAGATTACTCCTGGGTATATATCAGGAATTTCTCCGGGTAGTGATCTGTGACCATATGGATGCCAGGGATCTAACTCGTAAGTGTGTGTCAGGCACATGCCCACCCTGCTGGACTATCATACGGCCACAAGTTCATTTCTTTCTTAGGGTCTCATGCAACAGGGCTGCTCAGTGCTTGAGGTCTCCCCAGTGGTTCTTGGGAAACTTCAGCATGACTCACTTTTTTTTATTTATTTTGCCTTTTGGGTCACACCTGGCGATGCACAGGGGTTACTCCTGGCTCTGCACTCAGGAGTTACTCCTGGTGGTGCTCAGGGGACCATATGGGATGCTGGGAATCAAACCCGGGTTGGCTGCGTGCAAGGCAAATGCCCTACCCACTGTGCTATCTCTCCAGCCCCTGAAATGTGGGTCTTATGTCCCTGTTAACAACCAGTCTGGAGCACATGAAAATTCTGTTCTTGTCATTTTATTAATTTTCCTGATTTTATTTGGAGCAAATTGGTTTGGGCTGTCTCCTTTTCCTCGTCACTAACCCTAGCTTCCATATCGACGGCAGCAGGGCATTCCAGGGTGAAGCCTGAACTGATAACCTGGTTGGAAGGAGAAATCCTGAAGTCGGGGAAGAGAGGCGTGTGTGCAGGTGAGTGTCTGAGGACCCTCTCTGACTGGGTCCCTCCCTGGGCAGTGTGAGGGTTCCCCGAGGCACATGAATCGCACCGCTGACCCAGGGAAGCCTCAGGCTCCTAGATCCAGACTTCTGTGCAGTGCTCAGGCTGCCTTTCACTCCCTTGGACTGTCCATCATGGAATGACCTTGCACTTCACTTTCTTGGCTTTTTCTTTACTCTTCTCATCTGTCAGGCGAGTAGAATAGTCCATGGGATTTCTGGCCCTCAGGCATATGTCTGTGCATTACCAGCTGATGTGCTGCCAGCGATGTCAAGGCACCTTTTCCTGCTGGACACCCCCCTGCACTCTCTGTCACGCTTGCCTTTGTCCTCAGATCATTAGCATGATTTTTGGGTATCCTAGGAATCTTATTATTCTTTGGTCTTTGGGACCTTTGATGCTCAGAAGTTCTTCCTGTTGGATCTCAGGAGTTGTTTTGGGTGGTGCTCAGGGGTCAGCCCGTCAGCCTCGTGCAAGGCAGATGCCTACCTGCTGTTCTCTCTCTGACAAAACAAAAGAAATATCTTTTGTTTTTATGTTGAAATAGGGAATGAGGGAGCCTATAACAAAGCTAAATCGAATCGGAGATTTTGGACACCAGCAGGGTTATTGGGTTTTTTTGTTTGTTTGTTTGTTTGTTTATTTTTGCTTTTTTGGGTCACACCTAGGGATGCACAGGGGTTATTTCTGGCTTTGCACTCAGGAATCACTCCTGGCCGTGCTCAGGAGAACATATGGGATGCTGGGAATCAAACCCGGGTCAACTGCGTGCAAGGCAAACGCCCTACCCGCTGTGCTATCACTCCAGCCCCTACACCAGCAGGGTGATTGCCTTGCATTGGCTGACCCAGGTTGAATCCCTGGCATGCCATGTGGTCCCTAGAGCCTCACTCAGTGTGATCAATACACAGAACTCTCAAGTTGGGGCTGGAGTGATAGCACAGCGGGTAGGGTGTTTAACTTGCATGCGGCCAACCTGGGTTCGATTCCCAGCATCCCATATGGTCTCCTGAGCACTGCCAGAAATAATTCCTGACTGCAGAGCCAGGAGTAATCCCTGTGCATCGCCAGGTGTGACCCCCCCCAAAAAAAATTAAAACTCTCAAGTTAATTAGGGGATTGATAGGCTGCTCATGGCAATCCCCTCCAAGGACCTTCCCTTTGCTGTGGGCCTGTCTGGACTGAGATGTCCATAGAGGCGTCCTCCAGCTGCCCAGCCTCATTCAGCTACATTCCCATTTAACCAATTCTTCCATTGCATTTTGTGATTGATTTCAGATCTCAAACCACAGCTTCAGGATGTGGCATGGCTGCAATTTGATTTGGGAACAGGATCACCAAATGCAAGTGAGCTGGTAAGATTCACACATTGAATATAAATATTATGTTGGATGAATAGGTCAGTAGACCGAGAATGTGACTTGAGAGGTGGGAGATTGGGCTCCATCTATCCACCACATATATGGTGTCTGGGAATCACAGAGAGGAAATTTGAAGCCTAATGCTGGGAGTAGAGGGCCCTTAGCCCCACTCGGTGCTAAACTTATTCATTTAAAATTTAAAGAAATTCTTCTTCTTTTTCTCCTTCCAATTATTATTGCTTTTTGGGTCTTACCAGGAAGTATCAAGGGTTATCACCTGGATCTGCACTCAAAAATTACTCTTGGCAGTACACCATGGACCATGTTCTATGCCAGGGATAAAATCAATGTCTATTAGGGGCTGGAGCGATAGCTTAGTGGGTAGGGCGTTTGCTTTGCACGTGGTCGACCCAGGTTCGATTCCCAGCATCCCATATGGTCCCCTGAGCACTGCCAGGGGTAATTCCTGAGTGCAGAGCCAGGAGTAAACCCAGTGCATTGCCGGGTGTGACCCAAAAGGCAAAAAAAAAAAAAATAGTCTATTACATGCAAAGCAAATGTTCTTCCCACTGTACTATCACTCCCACAAGCTCCTGACTCCCTTTTTATGACTTTTTGGGTTACACTTTGAGATGTTCAGGCATTATTCCTGCCTCTGCACTCAGGAATAAATCCCGTCATTGTTTCAGGGATCTTATAGGATACAGGGAACCCAACCCTGATTGGCTGCATTCAAGGAAAATGCCCTCCAGGCCCAGACCTTGGGATTTTTTTTTTAGTAGATTTAATTTTTTTATGATACTTTTAATTTTTACTTTTTTTTTTTTTTTTTTTTTTGCTTTTTGGGTCACACCCAGCAATGCTCAGGGGTTACTCCTGGCTCTTCACTCAGGAATTACTCCTGGCAGTGCTTGGGGACATCCGGCAATGCTCAGGGGATTACTCCTAGCTCTGCACTCAGGAATAACTCCTGGCGGTGCTCAGGGACCATAGGAGATGCTGGGAATCGAACCCGGGTCGACTGCATGCAAGGCAACTGTCCTACCTGCTGTGCTATTGCTCCAGCCCCCACAATTTTTTTTTTTTTGCATCAGTGGGCATCATTTGCTTATTTTTTTTTTTTAATTTTTATTAGTGAAACACCATGAGATACAGTTGTAGACTTACAAATTTTGTGCTTGGGTTTCAATTATACAATGATCAAATACCCATCCCTCCACCAGTGCCCATCCTCCACCACCACGGGTCCCAGCATCCCTCCCACCCCCCATCCCACCCTGCCTCTGTGGCAGGGCATTCCCTTTTGTTCTCTCTCTCCTTTTGGGTGTTGTGGTTTGCAAAAGAGGCATTGAGTGGCAATCATGTTTGATCTATAGTCTACTTTTTATTAGTGAAATACCATGAGGTACAGTTATAGACTTATAAATTTTTGTGCTTGGGTTTCAGTTATACAATGATCAAGTACCCATCCCTCCACCAGTGCCCATCCTCTACCACCATGGGTCCCAGCATCCCTCCCACCCCCCATTCCCCCCGTCCCACTCTGCCTCTCTGGCAGGGCATTTCCCCCTGTTCTCTCTCTCTCTTCTTTTGGGTACTGTGTTTTGCAAGAGAGGCATTGAGTGGCAATCATGTTTGGTCTATAGTCTACTTTCAGCATGCTTCTCCCACCCTGGGAGGATCTTCAAAACACCCTTTATTTGGTGCTCTCTTCTCTATCTGAGCTTCCTTTTCCCCTAGCACACCCACACCTTTTTTTTAATACTGAAGAAATATCATGATCTCTATCATAAGCAAGCATGGTGCTTTTTGTTAAAAAGAACTGGTTTGTTGGCCCTAGTCATGGTGCAGTGGGAAGGGCACTAGTTTTACACAGGAACAGAAACTTGGGCTTCATCCCCAGCACCTAAAATGTCCCCCAGAAATCTACCACAGTAATCCCTGAGTACCACTGAGTGTGGCCAACCTCAAAATAAATACAAAATACAAACAAAAAGAAGAAAAATTTGTTGATCCTGGAGAGGAATCCCCCTGTGGTGAGATGTTTTCAGTGGCCTCTGTGGTCTACCTCAGCTCTGTGGGGATGCAGTTACCTTCACACATGCACATTGGTCTCCACACTGAGTTCGAACCTAACCCAGACTCGGGGGTATTTTATTTTGCTCAAAACTAGCAGTCCAGTGTTTTGCAGAGTGTCTTATTTCCATTTAATTTACACAGCTTAATAACCCACATCCTTCCATTTTGTGCATCTATCATGAAGGTAAATTAGTTCGTTTCTGGGAAAAGCCATCCATCTGTCGGGAATTGCATTTGTGTGGTGAAAATATTAGAAACCAACCAGAAGGTCTTGATTTCTTTAGACATGGAGACTTTTTTTTTTTTTGCTTTTTTTTTGGGGGGGTCACACCCGGCGATGCTCAGGGGTTACTCCTGGCTCATGCACTCAGGAATTGCTCCTGGTGGTGCTCAGGGGACCATATGGGATGCTGGGAATCGAACCTGTGTCAGCCATGTAGGCTGCATGCAAGGCAAACGCCCTACCCGCTGTGCTATCGCTCCAGCCCGACATGGAGACTTTTAAGGACTAGAGCAGTAATTGCAATCCTTCTCTCCTGTTCTACAGGAAACCAGCCAGCCCTGGTGGGATGTCTCTGACCATGCACTCTGGGACAAAATCTTGAGTGAGCAATCCCGCCCTCAGCACTACTGGGAGGCCGAGACAGTTGGAAGGTCTTCTGAGGGTGATCAGAATGGAGAGAGCTTCCTAGCTCCGAAGAAGCTCTCGTCTGGTAAAAGCTCCTCCGAGTATGTTCCACTCAGTCCATGGACTCCAAACCCCCCAGTGCAACAATCCTGGGACTGTGAGAGAGGAGCACTGTTTATGGCGAGTCCCTCATGTCAACAGGACCACAAGCAGAGTCACCATGACCAGAACCTGTCCAAGTGTGAGGAGTGTGACGCAGCCTTCCCGTGTTCTGGGCACCATGGGGTTTCCATAGAAACCTACAGTGGACATAACCCCCAGGAATGTCAAGAGCAAAGGCAAACATTGAGTCAAGTGTCACCTCAGCCTGTCCCTCAAAACGTCCACACAGGAGAGCAGCCGGGTACTTGGAAAGAGTGTGGACAGGCCTTCAATCGTCCCTCACATCTTATAATACAGAGGAGAGTTCATACTATTGAGAAACCGTATGTATATAAAGAGAATGGGAAGGCCTTTGCCCAACCCTCAAGCCTCAGTTTACACAGGAACATTCATAGTGAAGAGAAACCTTATTTATGTACTGACTGTGGAAAGGCCTTTTTTCACTTCTCAAGCCTTTCTGCGCATAGGAAAATGCACACGCAAGACAAATCTTATTCATGTAAGGATTGTGGGAAGACTTTTATCTATTACTCAAACTATTTTATACACAAAAAAACGCATATTGAACAGAAATTGTATATATGTAAGAAATGTGGGAAGACCTTTGCTCATTACTCAAACCTTTTGAGTCATGGGAAAATTCACACAGGACAGAAGTCGTATATATGTGAGGTCTGTGGGAAAGCTTTCAGCTACCCCTCACGCCTTATTAGACACAGAGAGAGTCATAATAAAGAGAAACCTCATACCTGTAAGGAATGCGGGAAGGCCTTTGCTGTTTTTGCTTACCTGTCTGTTCACAGAAAAATTCATACTGGAGAGAAACCTCATAAATGTAAGACGTGTGGAAAGGCCTTCATTCACTCCTCAGCCCTGACTGTGCATATGAGAACTCATAGTGGAGAGAAGCCTTATGTATGTCAGGACTGTGGGAAGGCCTTTCGTCGATCTACGGGACTTACTGAACATAGGAGGGTTCACACCGGAGAGAAACCATTTAGATGCAAGGAATGTGGGGAGACCTTCATCAACACGTACAGCCTTCTTCATCATAGTAGGCTTCACACTGAAGAGAAACCTTTTGTATGTGAGGAATGTGGGAAGGCATATTATTATTCCGCAAGTCTTCGTATGCATCGGAAAATTCACGCTGGGGAGAAACCTTATGTTTGTAAGGATTGTGGGGAGGCTTTCTCTCAAAAGTGGTCTCTGACTCAACACAGGAAAATTCATAATGAAGAGAAACCTCATCTCTGTCAGACATGCGGGAAGGCCTTCCCTACATACTCAGGCCTTGTTCTGCATCAGACAATTCATATTCGAGAGAAACTTTATAAATGTAAGGAATGCGGAAAGGCCTTCACTCGATCCATCTCTCTTATTGTGCACAGGAAATCTCATACTGGAGAGAACCTGTATGCATGTCAGGAGTGTGGGAAGACCTTTATTAAAGCCTCACAGTTTACTGTACACATGAGAATCCACACGGGAGAGAAACCGTTTATATGTAAGGAATGTGGGAAGGCCTTTATTACCAACTCCAGGCTTCAAGAGCATCAGAGACTTCATACTGGAGAGAAACCTTTTGTGTGTGAGGAGTGTGGGAAGGCGTATCGTCATTCCTCCAGTCTTCGTAGTCATAGGAGACTCCACACCGGAGAGAAACCTTATGTTTGTAAGGAATGCGGGAAGACCTTCTCTGAAATTCGGAACCTGAATAAACACAGCAAAATTCACAGTGGGGAGAAACCGCATCAGTGTCAGACGTGCGGGAAGGCCTTCACTCTGCGCTCAGGCCTTACTAAGCATATGAAAGTGCATACAGGAGTGAAATCGTATGTATGCAAAGAGTGTGGGAAGGCCTTTGTGTTCTCTTCAAGCCTTAGGAAACATCTTAAAATTCATAAAAGGTGACTTGAGGGGATACGCTGCCACCCAACAGGTCAACCTGTACTTGTGTGACGAATGCATCAGCCACCCGATGGTGCCTTCAGACTTTCCGATATCCCAGAATTGTCACTCTGCCTCTGTCTGGACCCCAACAATTTGGGACCATGTTTCCCGAGAAATTAAAAGGCCAAAAGTTAGGTATGTGGAAGTCATGCCCACGAAACACCTCTGGCTCAGCTACACAAGCTCATTCATCAGCCTTGCTTCAGATACCCATAAATAAATCTCAAAAGAGATCAAAAACAGGTCATTTAAGTAGTTGATGGTCATGATTCAGAGACTCACAAATGAATCTCGAAGGAGAGCAGCATACCGCAGACTGCTTCTCCCCACCCCGCCCCAGACTGCTTTCACTGGGGCATCTTGGAGGGGTGCAGGTCTGTCCCTCCACCTGTCCCAGATGAACCCCAGCAGCCACAAACCTCCAGAACCTAGTCGCCACCATGCTCCCAGCTGACCTTCACAGGCTTGTTCCAAGCCCCCCAGGCATGAGGTGAACCCACTGAAATACCCAGGTATGCGGGACTAGTGACTGAAACTCCAGGCTTCACAGAATCAGGGATGGGTGACCTCTCCCCATCTCCCTGCCCAACTGATTTCCCAACCGATTTCCTGGCATCACGCCAAAGAACTGCCTCTGGGCACCATTTAAGCACATTCACTGCCATAATTCAGAGACTCACAAATGGTGAGTCTCGGAGAGCAGCACAGCACAGGCTGTGTTGGCTCCAGACCCCAAATCACTTAATCACTTAATCCCCGTTATTCATCGATTTATTCGAGCGGGTGCCAGTAACGTCTCCATTCATCCCGGTTGCGTGCTAGTGTAGCCCAATGGTATCTGTTCGTTTTAGGAACATGTAGAGCCTCAAACCAATCATTTAGGGTCTTGACGAAAAAGTCTGACCATCTTATAGGTGGGCGTCCACGTGATCTTTTGATGTCTCGTGGAATCCAATCAGTAATGGCTCTAGTCCAGCGGTTGTCTGTAAACCTCATTACGTGTCCAGCCCATCTGATTTTTGATGTCTTGGCAAATGAGACAGCGTCCCTGATTCTTGAGCGTTGACGAAGATCAGAACTCCGGATTCTATCTCTCATTTGAGTGAATCGTGATATTCCAAGCATAGTTCTTTCGATTCCTCTTTGAGAGACCCGAATAGTGTTCTCATCCTGTTTTCGTAGGGTCCAGACCCCAAATATTTAACAAATTTTAGAATTCCAGGACACCTCATAATATTGATGGCAAGCAATACGGAATCAATTCTTTAGCATCTGCAAAAGGGTCAGGCTGGAGTGGTGGTAAGATTGAAAGTAATGATGGTGGGAAGGTGCACTGGTGGCGGGATTGGTGTTGAAATATTGAATGTAAGCAATTAGTGTGAACAAGTTTATGAAAACTATAAAAATACTCAAAAAGTAATGCAGAGTTCATGCCTGCTTCAGTCACCTTGAATCAATGGCTGAATAAATACGTCGACATTTAAAAAAGTGTATTTATGTTTTGTTTTGGGGTCTGGTATTACTGAGGGGATATGGCTAGTGGTTATCAGGAATGATTTTTGGCTGTGCTTAAAAATCAGCCTTTGTCACCCTTAGCAAGGCAGACGCCCTACCTGCTGTTCTCTCTCTGAACCACTAAGAAATATTCTTTTATCTTTGTTTATACAGTAAATGGCTGTGTCCACAACAAGCTAGGTTGGTCCACAGCAATAGTGCAACGGGGAGGACTCCTTCCTTGCACATGACTGACCCAGGTATTATCCACAGCATCCCATATGATTTCCTGAATATCACTGGGTGTGGTAAAAAAAATATGTATAATAAGTTAGTGTGGGGCTGGAGCAATAGCACAGCGGGTAGGGTGTTTGTCTTGCACGCAGCTGACCCAGGTTCGATTCCCAGCATCCCATATGGTCCCCCAAGCACCACCAGGAGTAATTCCTAAGTGCATGAGCCAGGAGTAATTCCTAAGTGCATGAGCCAGGAGTAACCCCTGTGCATTGCTGGATGTGATCCAAAAGCACTGTCACTGCCACTGTCCTCCCATTTGCTCCAGTGGGTCCAGTAACATTGTGAGACTTGTTACTGTGTTTGGCATATCCAATACATCACGGGTAGCTTGCCAAGCTTTGCCGTGCAGGCAAGATACTCTCGGTAGCTTGTCGGGCTCTCTGAGACAGGTGGAGGAATTGAACTCAGGTTGGCTGTGTTGGCTGCGTGCAAGGCAAACGCCCTACCCGCTGTGCTAACGCTCCAGCCCGACCCAAAAGCAAAAAAAAAAAAGTTAGCGTGGGGATTGCCCAGCTCCTCACAGTGATCCTCTCAAAGGATCTTCCCATTGCCGTGGGCCCATTTGGACTATGAGAACCATAGAGATGTCCTCCACCTCCACCAGCTCAGCCTATTCAACCAGCTGCCATTGGACTAATTCTTGCTTATTGTGATTGATTTCAGACCTCAAACCACTGCTTCAGGATTTGGCATTGCTGCAATTTGATCTGGGAACAGGGTCAATGAACATGAGTTAGCTGGTAAGATTCTCGTATTCAAAATATCATTCTGGCAGAATAGCACAGTGGACCAAAGCATGTGACTTGAAATGTGAGGGTCAGCCTTCATCCCTGCCACCAAATCTATGGCCCCTGCACACCACAGGGAGAAAATCTAGTGCCTAAAACTGAAAATAGAGGGCCCGTAGCCTCACTGGGTGCTAAAATCAGTAAGTTGAAAACCCAAAGAAATTCTATTATTTTTTGTATCAATTAAAAACGGATTCTTTTCCTTCTATAGAAAGTAAGCACAAGTGGTAATTGTTTCAAAGAACTGGTTTGTGGACCCTAGTGACAATGTAGTGGGAAGGACACTTGCTTTGTATGAGATGAAAACCTGGACTCCATCCCCAAACACACCCTATGGTTCCCCAGAACTGCATGAGGAGACATCCCTGAGCACTGCTCCGTGGGCCCCCTTCCCAAATACAACCAAGAAAACAAAAAAAAGAACAAAAAATTCACTGATCCTGAGTTGATGCTCTTGTCCTGAGATGTTTTATTTATTTATTTTGCTTTTTGGGTCATCCCCAGTGATGCTCAGAGATTACTCCTGGCTCTGCACTCAGGAATTACTCCTGTGGTGCTCAGGAAACCGTCTGGGATGCCGGGGATTTAACCTGGGTCGGCCGTGTGCAAGGCAAACACCCTCCCCACTGTACTATCACTCCAGCCCCTGAGATGTTTTTAATGGCCCCTGTGGTCCATCTCGACAAGTTGCCCCCGGACCTGATCAGGACTGTAGTGCAGCATCCAGCCTTCCACACAGTCCCAGATAGTGATTGACAGGCTCAGAGAGAAAATTGTCAGCGACTCCCTGGTGAGGAATAGAGGACTCCTGATAGCCCAATCTAAGATTTTTGGCTATTGGTTCTGCCAACACACTGGGCAACCAGGCAAAGGTTTGAACAGAGCAAAGGCAAAGTTGTCATTTGAAGAATCTCTACAGTCGTCCCCAGGGAATGAGGTACTGGGTCTCCACACCGTCAAATTCCAGACAGATCCCCAGAAGTTGTGAGATCGTGATCAAATGACCACTGATGACATTAAGAGAATAAAATTTGGAGGAGTGTATTCACAGCAGCTGGCGGCTGTCCTGCTAGGTAAGAACAGCAGCCTCCCAGCAGAAGCACAGGCTTTTGGTTAGGAAAAACCAAATCCTGGTGTACCTGTTATTTTTATTTATTTTATTATTACTATTATTATTATTATTTTGCTTTTGGGTCATACCTGGTGATGCTCAGGGGTTACTCCTGGCTCTGCACTCAGGAATTACTCCTGGCAGTGCTCGGGGGACCATATGGGATGCTGGGAATCAAACCCGGGTCAGCCGTGTGGAAGGCAGACGCCCTACCCGCTATGCTATCACTCCAGCCCTGTACCTGTTATGTTAATAAGCACTCACAAAATTAGTTTAACTTCACCAGGCCAATGGCCTGCTGCCTGGTAAATTTATGTAAGCGTAGTGATAAAAGCATAATTAGAAAGGAGAAAAAGAGACTACCAAAGCAATCGACTATTGATCTTTAGCCATTTCACTTTTGGGGATCCCAACCCATTCTTCCTATTTGCACTCCATGACTGGTGCACCCTAGTGGTGTCGTTACAGGAAATTCAGTACACTTATGGAATAACTCCTCTAACTAAAAAAAGTAAATTTCTAAACTAACTAAACTTCATATTCTTACTGTGACACACATCAAATCATCATAGCCAATGATTGGTCAGCATTTCTGAAAAAGAGACTTTCTCCTGCACCCGTGCTGAGCAATTGTTCTTCCCTACTGGTTCACATATTGAAGAATTTAATTCTAGCTGGATAATCCTTCTACTATGAAACGACGAAAGACTACTCAGCTGCATGGCGGTGAAGGGACTTTCTGTTCTTGTGGCTGATCCATGTTAGATTGTGGTCAGATTCACTGCACTGTTGATCTTGAGCACTGTTTGAAGAGTTGCAGAGTACAAAGATGAGTATCTTGAGATCACCAATGGCTGTGAACACAGATACACACACACACACACACACACACACACACACACACACAGGAATATTGCTTACATCTATAATACTTCCCCACTTCATCACCAATCCTTGAGCCCCATTCTGGTCCATGTGATTCGCTGAGTTTCTACCTCACACCTATAACTCTGAAAACATGAAGAACTGAAACTACTCCAGCAACTGGAAATTCAGTGCGATGTAAACTATTTCTCTGAAATAGTCCAGCGCAAAGTAGCTGACCCAGGCTCTATCCTTAGCAGCCTAGAGGGTTCCCTGAGTCCAGTCCAAAGTGATTGCTGTGAGCACATAGTCAGGAATAAGCCCCTCAGCACTACTGGATTGAACCTCCCCCCTCCCCCCAAAAAATAACAGATCAAGAATATCTGAATATCAACGTCCTGTAATTTCTGATCAATTTGGGGGGAAAGGAGTTGGTGGTTCAAGGCTGGGGCGTGTCCTGGCAGGTGTTTGTAAAGGAATATTTGTGATTTTTATCCCCTCAGTAAAAAGGAAGAATTTTTATACCATGTGCCATCTGTTTAGTCCCTCACTCTTCATCTACCCAGAACTGGTAACCTCCAGAAGTACC